TTATATATAAAAAATCACCTACAGTGTAATTTCATTTCATCACTATCATTAATAGATTTTCTTTTGATATTTTCACTTTTCAACACAACCCCACCAATTTCTGGTGATCATCTCGCAAAAGTCGAAAACATTTTCCTTAGTAATGTTTTAAAAATTCATATTATTAACATCAATAATATTATTAACATTATTATTATGAACGTTTTTTTCGTCGCCAATAGACAAAATGGCTCGCGTTTTGGCTGTGTTTTCTCTTAATATTCTCTCTGATTAGAGATAAAGAGTACATTTACGAAAAACAAAAAAGAAAAGAAAAAAAAAGACAGCACGTAATAAGCACATTTTTACATTAAAAACACCCAAAGGATGAAAGAAAAAAGTGATTTATATTATTTTAAATGATTAATTGATTTTTACAAAACTCCAAACTTTTAAAGTTTTTACACCTGCAGTAAACGTTGTTTTTTTTTTTAACAAGATTTCTAACGCATAGAAAAAGATAGCTTCCCTGATTGCAAGACAAATTCTTGCGAACGCACAACAAAAAACCTATCAAAAAGAAACACGTTATTTACATAACTTATGAAGCATTTAACAGGGCATCTCAACGCACTTGATTCACGGACTGATTTTTTGATTCTTTAGTTCTTCATATATTCATTTGTTCGTCCATCCATTTATCTTTTCTTCTGTTTGTTTTTGGGAAGAATGAACATCACTCATCTCTTTTATGCAATGAAGAGCGCCTGACTGAGTGCGAATGTATATATGTATGTAAGAAAATGCTTGAGAAAGTCTTTGTCATGATCCTGAAGTTCCTGTAAAAACAAAAATTACGATACACGTGCATACGCATTTATATGTTTATAAATATATACAATTGTATACGCAAATATTTATGAAGATGCTGTATACATGTGCATTTGATTTATCGTTATGTAACTTTTTTTTGTTGTTGTTCTGAACGAACGTCTCGTATGTCCGGACACCTACCCGTTCTTAAAACATGGGTACCAGGATTTTAAAAAGATATTGTTGAGAATATCGTGTCATAACAAGTTTATCTTTATTTTATTTGGCGTGAGGAACAGATACACCACGGAATCAACTGCAGATATTTACAGCGGCAGCAAAACTAAATAAGGTTTAAAATATATTCTTTTTTTTTTTCATATAAAAAAAGCGATCAAGAAAAAAGAAAACAAAAAAAAAAACACAAAACAAAACAAAACAAAAACAACAACAACAAAAACCAAAGAGAACGATCATTACAAATTACACTATTAACTAAAACAATTCGACCAAAACGTCATACCGGAACACGCTCACACACAGAGATTACAAACAAATACGCACACACACATATACACGCGCGCACACTAACACAGACACGTGCGTGCGCGTGCACAAACACACACACACACACACACACACATATATATATATATATATATATGATCTAATTGGATTAAGAGATATTTTTGTTATTTAATTGCGTTTATTTCACGAAAAAACCACCACAAAGAAAACAAGAACTTTTACATATACATACATATATAGATTTATAGAAATATATGTATATATCTATGTACGTATATATATATATATTAATAGCTCATTCTATCTTCATGACGCGAGACAGACTAGGCCACATTTCCGTTTAAACTGGATTACTAGGAGCATTTACTGTAAATGGAGACCTTCACAGGTGGAAATTAAAATTGGAAAAAAAAAAAAAAAAAAAATACAATGAATACATGTCTAATGATCTAAGGTTGGCAATAAAATACAAACTTTATAAAAGAATATATATATATATATATATATATATATATATATATATATATATATATTTATATGTATACTGTATATTTATATGCATATATATTTATACACATACGTATATATATATATATATATATATATATATATATATATATATACATACATACATACATACATACATACATGGATGTATAAAGAAGAAAATGAAAAAAATATTCGTTCATTTCCATTGATTCTTGGAAATTTTATCACCGTTTCTTCGTTTCTGGCAGAGGTTTTGAAATCTGACGTAAAGAAAATTAAGTAAAAGGAGAAAAAAAAGAAAAAGAAACTTCGGAATTATTTTACTTAAAGACCGAAAAATAATTATTTTGTTTTGCTGAATATACCGGAGTGGAATCCTAATGAAACCAACATAAAACTTTTTACAGGCTTGATACGGTACTTCCCTTATCAACGCACGCAGCTTACAACATACACATACACACGTACATATACATAGATATTTACTTTAGTCTGGCACAAAGTTATCATTGTGGGGCCCCCACTAGTCACTAATCTACAATAGACAGTATTTATGGTATGCTCGATTAGCTAATTGTTTCCTACTACGTGACGCATACTTTTAGAGTTTATTAAGCTTAAGTCACTGGTATATGTGTGGGGCCCCAGTTAGGGATCGAACTGACTACCTATTAGTTTGAATGATATACTAGATTCGCTTTATAATCACAGCGAAGTTCCCTACAAATAATCTTAGTTTCATCTGACACAAAGTACCACGTGGTGATAGTCCCACTCATGATCAGGAGAATTAATGATTTGCGAATCATAAAGCTTTAATAGTCTCAAGATATAGATAATTTCTATTCATATTCACACACATATATACATACATATATATATATATATGCATTTATATATATGTGTCTCTTTTTCGGATAAAATACTGACTTGATCCCGTTTCGACCTCTGTTTTTTCTTCCCGCCTTTTCTGGGCGATTGGATGTTGTATACAATTCAGCGATTTTTGAGAAAAGAAAACTCACATTTGACAAGTCTGAACAGTTGACTTGTGTGGGTTTTTTTTTTTTCTTGCTGAATTTAAACTTGTTTCTTTTCTCTGGAGGGAAAAGCAAACTAAGACTGAGCAAAACATAAATAAGTATGTAGAAAATCCTCCTTGTGGCCGATCTAAAACAAGAGTATCTGGAAAATTAAATTCGACAAAAAATTAAAAAAAACATAAATAAAAATTTGATAAACTACTGCACCAAAATTAAAAATAAAACAGAAAAAATAGAAAATATCAAATCTGGCTGTGAATTTTAATATTACTTTGTTTTTGGAAAAAAAAAAAAAACAACCCAAGGAAAAAAAATTCTAACTGCCACGCCCATAGGAGTGCCAGGCAATTTACGCTTTCTGTTAATTACTTGGATTCTAATCAGTTGTGATTATTTGTTAAATTCGTCTCTGTTGCATGTTATTTTTGAAAATAATTTCCCGACGAAAACAATTTCTTATTATCAAAATACAAGATATTGTCGTTTTGATCTACCATACTATGACTTGAAATAATTTTATTAAAATCCACGAAATTATAGGTTATTACTTTCGTCTCCTGATATTAACTTCGTATTTAAAACTTTTGTCTATTTTTGAATTGTTACTATATTTGATAAACTGTGAAGTTGTTTCGCACAGAGCCTTTTGTTATAAGAGAGAGAGAGAGAGTGATGCAGAGAGAGAGAGACAGAAAGATAGATAGAGAGAGACAGAAAAACAGAAGGTGAAAAACTGCAACTGGAAAAGTTACAGAGACTCGGGTCGTTGTACTAAATAAATATGGCTTTCATCTAATTGACATTTAAAAAGAAAGAACAAATCTGGAGACGGTCACACACGCACACACACTGGGGGGAAGTCCAATTTACGGAAGACCTAAAATGTACAAATCAATAAGTTTGCTTGCACGCACAAACACACTCATCTGTGCATTTCATTATTCGTAGTTTCAAAGCAAAATATTACAGACTAGCATAACTTTACTAGGTTTGTATTGAAAAACAACATGGTGTGAGTGTGTGTGAGGATGTGTCTGTGTGTTCGCGAGCATGTGTAAGATTGAACGCAAAGACATTATCTGTAAGTGTAGATGACTTTGTTTTATTGTTGAATGCAGTTTTCTACTTTTCGTCTAATATAGGATTTTGTTCAATTTCTTACGGCAATATAATTTCGTTTATCGTTTTTCAAAGAAAATAAAAACTTCTCTCTCTCTGAAAATAAATATTAATGATTCTTATTTGTTTATACATATAACATTAAAATTTTCTATTCGTATCTATCTATCTATCTATCTATCTATCTATCTATCTGCATACATACATATATTCCTCTACTCGTAATATTCATAAGAATTTTAATATTAAACCAAATTAAAATATTTCCTACATTTCCTTTGTAAAGAGAAATATATTTACAAAATTCTTTATAGAAAGAAATATATTTGCTAATGAATAAATAATAAATATTACTGCCCAAAAATTTATCCTAAATTCTTACATTTTTCGAAAACAATTAATGGTATAAATTTCTTTATTTTAGTAATTATTAAAAAAAAAGGATTCACCAATTGTTAATATTTGTTCGCTTTTCTTACACCCTTTGTTGTAAAAATATCCCCCCCACCAAAAACAAGAAAAAAAAACCCAAAAAAAACAAACATAATTAAACTCAAATGAACTGAAAAAATGTCTTAGCAAATTTCATATTTACATCGAATACTTGATTTTTCGTGGCTATTTTGGGGTTGATGTTTTTAACTTTCTTCTATTTTATAATCTATCTTCAAGTGTTTAAAACATTTTTTCTGAATGTTTCTTTGAATGGCTTTTAGATTTTTCATAATTTCAAATTTAATCATAAAAAAGATCTCATTAAAAAAAGATAAACATAAAAACATTTCCAAGAACAAAACGAAATATTCAGAAACTAAGAAATCCAAAAATAAAACCAGAAATCATCCTCATCTCAAGAAACGAAATTTCTTTTATTCCTCGCCAATATCTCGACTCCTTTATTATTTCATTTTATTTTAAACAGACTTCGCCACAAGATTGTAAACACAAACATCTGGCATGACATCCACTCTCATAAACTTCACAATGACGATGATGTCACTGCTACAAAATAATGCAAGTTTTATAAACATGACTCTTCTTTCGTGTGCCGAGGGCCAGACCCTGTCACAGGACGGCCTCCGGTGTGAAAAGGCGAAATATCAGGATTTCTACGACGTTACCCAGATGATCACGGGGCTTGTGCTATATCCGACCACATGCGCCCTCGGAATGGTTGGGAATTTGCTTTGTCTTATTGTCTTCAGTCGGCGTAACATGAGGTCTTCGACTAATATTTATTTGCAGGCACTGGCCGTAGCCGATATGATCAAGCTTTTCACAGACTTTCTCTATTTCATAGTCGTCCTTCTGTTAAGGGTAGAACAAAGAGAAGGCATCAAATTGCACGGATATCTCTACCCTTATGCTCACTATCTGTTCAACATGTCGTTATGCATTTCAGCATGGCTCACTGTCTGCGTCTCTGTGGAACGTTTCATATTCATATGCCAACCATCGCGAGTCAAGCGATTCTGCACGGTGTCTCGGGCTATTAAGGTGAGTACGAGCACATTTATTCTTGGTATCGCCGTTTCTTTTCCTTACATGTTGCGCTATCGGACGAATTCCGCTGTTGTCAACGGGACAATTGAAGTATATGGGGTAAATGTGACGGCACTGTGGAGCAAGGACTTGTTCGCCACTGCATATACCTGGGCACATGCATTACTTAGATCGGCTATACCGCTGTTACTCTTAGCCTGTCTGAACATTTCAATTTGGAGAGGTTTAAAACGTCCAAGCAGCATTCAGAAAAATGCCCGCTTGAAATACAAGGCCACATTAACTCTCATCTATGTAGTCGTTGTGTTCTTTGTATGCGTCACTCCCGACGCTATACTAAGTACAGTGCTCGGCTTTGGCTATTACGAAGAAAACAATTTCGCCCGAGGCATTCGGGAGATATCTGACTATTTGTTGCAAGTGAACTCGGCGGTCAATTTTGTTATCTATTATTTTTCTTGTACGGCATTTCGCAACTCTATCAGCTCCATGTGCACACGTGGTTATGCCTACGAGCCGACAAGACAATCTCCGATCATCAATGAAAACACGTGTAGCCAGTTGGCTTCATCAACAAGACATCTAGACCTTTCCTATAGGACTAGTAACGGCGCGGCAAACCACCATGGATTTACATTTGCAATTGATGAACGCCTCTGAAAATTAACTTCTCTTTTTTTAATGAATTTGTCTTCAAAACAAATGTTTCCCTCTTGATATATCTTTTTTTGTCTTTTGTTTCTTTCTATTTTGTCACTTTCTACATTTTCTTATATACTAAGATTGACTATGTCTTTATAATATTGCATAATAAATGTTTACTTTTGCATAAATGATTAATATATATATATATATATATATATATATATATATATATATGTATGTATGTATATATATATATGTGTGTGTGTGTGTGTACAGGTTGCGGCAGAAACACTTTTGCCAGCTATATCTCCTAGAAATTCAGAAATACCTCTCATATAATTGAAGACATTAGTGGCAAAGATGTCTTCATCTAGCTAATGTTTTACCATTATGTGGGAAGTATTTCAGGGTGGTATATGTGGGACGTATTTCTGCCGCACCCTATCAACATATATATATATATATATATATATATATATATATATATATATATATATATATATATATATATATATATATATGCGTGTGTGTTTGTCTGAAAGGATCCAAATTACTATCGGAAACACAAAAGTACAGATAAGATAAGTGGAAAAGCATTCATCCGATGCGTACGCCGACGTCACGTGTGCTATGTCCGGATTTTTCAGGTCGCATTGAAAGACAAAAATGCGTGTAATGAAAATGCGTTGCGATTTTTAAGGATAAGAAGAGCAATAAAACAAATTACTTTATCAGATCCGAGGAACAGAGAGCAGAAAATGTTTGTTTCTTTGTTTATATATATATATATATATATGCCAGTGCTTTTAAAGTGTTATCTTCTATGTACAGACATTATCAGCTCTGTTTCATATATATATATATATATATATATATATATATAAGAGAGCTGCTAAGGAGACTATCTGAGCAACGCGAAGATGTGCTAGATAACAGTTTAAAAGCACTGGTAGTTCATCTTAATAGATCTGATCACAATTTCGTCTTAATAAATATCGTTCTAATTGGAGAGAATAGGATTCACGAAGAAGACAATGCATTTAGAGTGCGTTAATCATGCAATTCTTGACAATAAGCATGAGACCAGGATCATACATAATATCGTCGATCATCGCAAAATAAATAATAGCACAAGGCGATATACGATCTAATAGAGAAAAACACAGATACCTACTTGGAGTTGGCTGATTCAAAAGAAACAAGCACCAACGACTCTAACAGATATATATTGGTTATTGATACGGTAAATTAATTTATCGCAGTTGTTATCTTAAAAATTTCCAAAGCATTTTCCCAGCACTCGTCACGGTTAAACGTATCGTATAAAATCTTTTCCACTTTGTTTCATTTATATTCGTGTATGTTCCATGAAAATTTTGTATTAAGAACATTGAAATCATTTTCTGTTAATTTCGTACAAGATAATAAAGGTTTGGTTCCTGTAGGTGACGTTTAAGATCTTAGGACATTCTAAAATTATATGATGTTTGTTTAGAAATGTTCAGGTATTTGTTGTTTTTGTTTTTCAGCATGAAATTTGATATATTGAAAGTTATAAATTTTATACAGGTTAAACTAAATTTTGCTTAATTTGAAACAGAAAAAATGCATATAAATCTCTGTAATTTCCATTTTTCTCAAACAGGAACCCAACACTGTTACCTTGTATGAAATCTACAAAAAATACTCTGTCTATATTTTTGAGATGAGGTATTGTAACTATTTAAAATATTTGCATTGTCCTCATCTTTATTGTCATATTAACGATGTTTCGGTCGTTGTACGCTCTGGCCTTCTTCAGGGGATTGGAATAAAATTTAGTTCATGTGCCATGCGACTTATTGGATATCTCAGTTTCAGTTATTTTCCTTTTTAGTAACTCAAGTTTCAAGTTTTTGCTCACCTCTGCTGTGGCCAGGTATTGAACTCATATCTCTTTGGATCAAGGCTATGTATACATGGTGCAAGGATACATGGTGCATTGGAGAAAAACTTGGATTGAAGCAATCTAGAGTTGTGAGTTCATTACGTGGCCACATAAGAAGTGAATAAAAAACTTGGATAGTTGAGTTACTAAAGAGAACTAAAGAAAAGGGAGATTTCTAGAAAATGTATAAACAATGTAGAAAAATTGACCCCAGCTGGATGAAGTATAAAAAGTTTGATTCGAAATACCAACGTATATCACCTGAAGAAGGCTGAAGCGTACAACCTAACGACAATCTACTCAATGTAAATAGTGTAAATACTAACAAATTCATACAAAAACAAAAACTTGTCAGTTGCCTTCAATATATATATATATATATATATATATATATATATATATATATATATATATATATATATATATATATATATATCGAGAACAGTATTGGGGAAAATCTTTGACGAAAGGTTACTTGTGACGTGTTTCGTCCTTCAGGACTTCATCAGACTAAATTTGTTATATTGGCAGGACTCCATATTCGCACAACAGTGAGGTGCTGGGAATTCTAGAATGTATTTTTATCTTGCCGAATTCATTTAGAGTCTTTTTCTTTTAGTTTCCATCACTTTTTAAGTAGGAATTCTACACTGTGATATTAGAATATCTACCAGGAATGGTGAAATGGAAAGAAAAAGAAAAAGGCTCTACTTTTATAAGAACCAAATCAGGCCAAATATTGAGTATTGTTGCCATATTTTGTGGAGTTAACCAGACCTCAATTTCCAGTCTTGACAGAATTTAAAAGTGTCTCCAAGTCCTTGTGGGAGAACAATTATTTTCCACACTTCGACCTCTCTCACACTGGTGGGATTTGGTGAGTCTCTTACTGACCTAACTTCTACCAGGACAGATCTTCACGGCTAGGACCCGCCATGCCAATTAGATAATAGCCAACCATCCACATTAGCTCCGTATTTTATCGACGGGAAGTAAGTTCCCGCGAACCACTGTCCTATGGAACAGACTCCCTAGAAAATGTTTCCTTGATGACTACAATCTTAACCTGTTCAAGTCTACAGTCAAACGTTATTTTCCCTTCTTATTCATATAAACTAAACCTTATTGTAAGCCTCTACCTGGAATGCCCCCCCCCAGGATCTGTACAGGATGAAACTTGCTGTAAAAAATAATTATAGCACAAAGTTTGAAGACTTTGATAACGAAAGAAAATAACTGCGACTGATTTAAGCACGACTCACGTTAGCCGCGGATTTAAGCACAGATCGCAATGGAAGCTTTACTCATAAACGCTAGAGACAAATGACAGATACGGACCAAACGTTAGCAGGATTTGACCTAAAAATCGATTCAATATTTACTTATATATTTTCCTCTTCGTAGTATTAGTATTAGCTGTTTGTACAAGTGTAGATGCAAAGTATATATATATATATATATATATATATATATATATATATATATATATATATATATATATATATATATATATATATATATATATGTTTTCTAGTTCTATAGTTATCTTCTTGATGTTAGATGTTGTTGAAACTAATCGTATACATATATGTTTAATAAATAAAACGTACACATATGTAAATATGTGCACGTGGGTATTTGCACGTGTGCATACTTACGATACATTTAGAAACATGGCCCTTCTATACTCAGAACACACACATACATACGCACACATATATGCACACACACACACACACACACACACATATATGCACAGACATGCGCGCGCACACGCGTATAAGCTCTTGAAAATCTATTTCAATTGAGCACTCTTGAGAGGCTGTCTAATTCTACAACCAGTATCTGCCGACGCTATAAAATCTCTTCGGTAAAATGAATACGAGCACTCTGGTTTGTTTACATTTGTAAAAACAATCCGCTAGAATTAGCAGTTTCTCTCTGCCGAGTGCTGCTGGCTTAGAGGTAGAAACTCCGTCTGATCTTAGCTTGAGGCTTTCGGACGTCTAGTGGCACTGACGAGCTGCGAAACAGTGCTATCTACAAAATTCTGAAAGTTTCTTGGCCAGACTGCGTAACCAAAATATTTCGTTGAATATGAGAAACATGGGAGTAGGGGAGTTCAAATATTGTCTGTATAGTTCATTTCTTTAGCCATTTTTAAAGGGATTTGCTTTTAGGTGCTGTTAATTTCTCTTCATGTTTTGACTGTTTAAGATGTATTTTTTTGGTGTGTGGGGGTGGGGAGCGGTTGTTTCGAATACAAGTAGTAGCGTTTATCCCCAACGAACAGAAAATAAAATTAAGATGCTGGGAAAAAATGAATGAAAAAATTATTAAATTTTACTTAAAATTTTGCGTAATTTATATCAAGGTCAAACATAAATTCTATATTTTAAAAAATAATTTCTGTATATGAGAAATAACTGCAATGTTTTTAGTTTACCACAGTACAATTTAAGTGGAAAATCACAACAGACAGAATATCTCTGTAAAGGACATTTTACAATTGTGGATATTTTCATGTCGTAAATTTCAGCATTTGAAATTTGGTTTCTTAACAAAATAGGAATTACGAACCAGCCTTTGGTAAATATTGTCTGGCCTCTTCGAGGACGACACCAATAGCCCCTTCTACCACCGAACGTCGAATATTGTACATGCGTCATTAGTAAATGGTTGAGAAAGAATGGCTTGCTAAATATCGCTTTTTGTCAGACATCTAATGGCGTTTGTTGAGCAATAAACTGTTCGATGTAAGTATCAGATTTACAATTTTTCTATTTTCGAATCAAACAGAAAATATTTCTTTAAGACGAAAATTGAACTTTGAGCTAGAGAGAAGAGATATGGCCGTGTGTACAAAATATGCAAATAGCGATAGATTGATAGATTCACAGTATTAAAATAGACATCAGTTTATAGCACCTTTTATTCCCACTCATATAGATTGTATATGAGTCTTTGCTTTTGCGGGGAACTGAACCCTGGCGTGTGATGTTCGAGTTGCTCATATTTTTGAAGTGTGATCTAACTGTTTATTAATCTGATTCAAGAATGGAGAGGTCTGAATAGTGAGCTATATGTA